CTCATCCCGATGTAAAGTGACAGTGTCTTTTAATTAATTTTAATGTGAGGGTGAGGGGGGGCACATCTTCTTGGTCTTAAATTGAGTCGGTGGTTGTAATCTCCCCACCTCCATCTTTATCTTTTCCCAGTTACACTGATTTTCACTGACTTCATACTTTTCAATCATCCATCTTCTGGAGTCTTCTAGAGTAGGATGTTCCCCTCTTACTGGTCTTCTAGCTCGTTAGCAAGGCATGCATTTTTAGGCAAACCTCAACTAAGTCACTCCCTTATCTCCTGGTTTCTTCTCTCAACTGCAGCAGTCTTAAATCAGTAACTGACCTTGTCATTATTCTATTTAGAAGTTCAGAATGAACAGAATGGAAGATTTCCTAGAGATATCAATACTATTCATAGCATTTATTTACCAGAAATTTAACATTAAAATTATCTAACAAAATTAACCACAGATCTCAGGTGTAATTACAGATCTATCATTTTCCTTTTGACTTAAATTTATTCTTATTCTTAGTTTTTTGGTGTTTTTTTTTGTTTTGGCTTGGTTTTTGGGGGGATTGTTTTGTTTGGTTTTTTTTAACTACATCAGTTTCACAGTGCTGTGGTCACCAGTTATGTTACTTTTTCATCCTATTTGAATGTTAACTTCTGGGACAGAAAAAGCAAAAGAAAATAATATTAAACAGAATCACAGCTTGTGGTGGGAATGAATTTGGACAGATAAACTGTGCTGTTATGTCAGAGCCATTTTGTGCTGGTTTTATGTTTTACAAATGGGTAGGTGACAAAAAAATTCCTATGTGTACTACACTTGCCCAGGGGGCAAGAGAGAAACAGTAGTCATTTAAATTCAAGGACAGTTCATAACAGACTTTCCTGTTACTCCTGAGAATTTTTTTTTTACTGTCAGAAGGACAATTTGAATGGATGCAAATTTTCTCACCAACATCTCCCATTTTATGACACGCATGTGGTGCATAATTCCATCTATATTCTCACAGCACCTGTGGAATATCACTTTTAACTCTCAAAGTTATAAACACCGGGGTTTGTTTCTCTAGAATTACATTCTATGGAGCACACTTATTTTGTACAATGTGGACAGAGACAATCTTTGTTGCTGCACATGAGGCCTAAAGCAAAGAAGTCATCATTTGTGACTGTTTCTGCAGAAAAAAATATTATATTAAATGATTATAATGTTGTGTATGTCTTAAAATAACATTAAAAGACATTTTTGTTATTTTATTCTTTGTTGGGAAATTGATATTGGAAATTGTGAGTGATTTTTATTATGGTGAGGAAGGTTTAATATATTATTTGGATTATAACCATGAGATTTATCCTTAACTAATTATGGAATAACCACGTCAGCGGTCCTTGTCTGTCTTTTTCCTGACATGTATTCTGTTGGTTTCTAAGGTCCTGTATGATTATAGGTACCCTTTGAGGGGACTATCGTGGTAGAAAATAGAGGAAGCCAATTTTTGTTCCTGATATTTTAATATAGCTCCTACTAAGCAATGTGAAGCAACTAGATACTATCACATATTAGATTTAGTGTTTCATTTTGGGAAGTTGTCTCTGCCTTGGTTTGCATATGTAAAGTAAGGGGGATAATGTGAGTTCTTTGTCCTGTAAACTTTTCTTTATATGAGTTTTGCATTGTCTTAGTAGAGGTATGGTTTATCTGCCTTTACACTAAAATTTCCATGACCAATCATACCCTGGAGGAGATGTTTGGGATCTGACAGCTACCAGAGTTCAGCTGTAACTTTCAGCTTTTAGGAAAATATTTTAAATCCTGATTTTTGGGGGGGAATTAATGTCTGTCTTTTAAGGATATAATATTTATTCTTAATTGGAGAAAAATCAAAATGCTAAAATAGAAACTTGAATGCAGCATGGTATAGGGCTTTGAATAGTGAATAAAGGAGTAGTTGTTTTTATCATGGAGAGAGAAAGTATTGTAAATTTTTTCGAAGGTTTTTGAAAGCTCTCTTTCTGAATCATGGTTATCTGCATGTTTGCTGTTTTTAGGTGAAGGAAGGTGCTGAACAGAATTGTTTCATATTAATTTATATTGATTTTATTTACACAACTCAGTTACAGTATGAGCAGTGGAAGCTGAAGTACTCTTTCATTCTATGGTGATTTTTCTTTCATTATTTACTGTTTACCACTGGGCACATAAGTGAGTTATTGGTTTGACACCATAAAGAGTTGCTGCCTTCAGTAATGACTTCAAATTTTTTTTCCGTTAACATATGGCTTATACTCCTCAAAAACAGGCTTACTTTAAAATCAGTAGTGTTATGAACAAATTATTGAAAGCAGGAAGTAGGAATGCAAGTCTCAAAGGGTAAGAAGGATTGATGCAGTGGCACAACTGGAGGCGTCTATTTTCATTTCAGATATACTTGGGTGCCCTTCCAGCTCTCCCTCCAGAATATCACAGATCTCCCATAAGGACCTCAAACTTTTTATTCATGCACCACAGCAAGCTAATAACATTTTAGTTAGTGATTACTTCATGTATATCCTGTGAGGATGTAAAGGATAAAGATCAGTTTTTAAATGTGTACTTACTTCCTGTGGTGTGTGTTGTAGTTACCTGTACATTATAACTACAATTGTTCAATTAGGTACTGAGTGAAATGAAGTTTTAAGGGCTTTTAATTGTTGTATGACAAATTTTTGGTGTGTAGTAAAAGCACCATCAGTTGAATGTTTTATAAAAAAATGAGTAGGAAAAGGAGTCTGGAAGACAAGAAGAGATGTAACATTGTAGAACTACAAACAGAAATATGGGAGGTAGAGGAAATCTTGGAATAAAGTGCATGAGTTAATAAATGCTTGTAACTTTGGAAACAAAACTATTTTTCCTCTTTTCTTGCAGCAAATGCTATTTCAGGATTGCTTGATCCCTTCGGGGGATCTCATATCTTAAGGAAAATATTCATAAAAGGAGATAATGCAATCTAATACAAGAGGGCAGTTGCTTCTCTGTACCTTATTTATGTTAAAAGATTGTCAGGAAAACATGTGCAAAACCTATGATTGTAGGTGTATGATATCACCAATGCAGAGATTTATATGTAAACCTGGACTGTGTGGAAGGTCACACCTAAAGGAGACTGCAGAAGAGTTGGATTTGGAAGCTGTCATGTAGAAGATAAATAATTCAGTCTCCTCCCGCACTGGAAGGCAAAGCATAATATCGAAGGATTACAGTTCACTTACAATGATATTGCTAAGTAAACTGTAGGGGGAAGAAAATGGAATTTCATTCCAAAGTGTTTTGAAAAAAAAAGGAATTAACAGTCAGAATCCAATATAACTGTTAAGCAGGTTTTCTTTATTAGCAGCACTGGAATCACCTTGGGGATTCTCCACCCTAAGGGCTCCCCAGAACTAGGAAGGGACAAATCATACATATTCATTAGATTTCCTGGAAAGGCATGTCTTATGATAATGAGTTCCTGGAATTTACATAGTTTGAGCATGTGTAGTACAAATAGAGTGAGGGTCTTCAGTGGTCAAGGGAAGAAGTAAGCGGTCTTCTTCACAGTGTTCACTAGTTGACCTTCTTTGCAGAGCATGTGCTGTGAAGTAAAGTCCAGGTGTCTTCTTCCTAAATTGACAAGATCATCCTCCCTAGATTGTATCTCTGTGACCTTTTGTTCAAGTTCCCCTCATCTTAGTTTGCCAAAGTGCCCACTGAAGGCTTTGATTCTGCTATCAGTGAGTTATACAGGGAGTGTTTTACTTTTGTCTAGACAAAGAGGCCTAGGGAAAACAGTTGAGTAGTCACTAGGAAATAAACACAAGCGAAACTTTCATGTATCACAGTTTAATCTTAATCAGAAATTGACTTGTTTGAGCCCTTTCAGTTTCAAGTTATATTTCTTTTATATGCAGATGAGCTAGTGTCATGACCCGGACTTGGAGCCCAGGAAGTCTAAAGGTTCTCTGATCTTCTCAGGTTAAATTAAGGTGAAACACCACCAAACTACCAGTTAAAATGTTTTACTTGTGGTAGAGAAAACTTAAACTTGGAAAAGGATGATGAGCAATGTGGTATCTTAGAAATCTATAAGAAAAGAAAGGAAAGATAAGAAAAAGAAAGGAGAGAAAGAGTCAAAGAAATCTGGTCACCACCCCTGGATCCAGCGTGGTCTCAGGTCTGGGTGATGGGTACACTCACAGCAAGGTTTTCTGTTTTCTTTTTTAAGTTGCTCTTATCATCTGATCAAAATACTCAACAAAGAGAGGCAGGTATTCCACAAACTCATTTCCATGAGAGACAAGGAAAAAGGGGGAGCGTGGGTTCTGCACATGCATTGAGGGGGAAATGGGGTACACCAGTCCTCTTGCCCAGTTTTGTTGGTGATCATGCTCACCCTGCCCACCTTTAGTTTTTCCTCAGTTCCCACAGATTTTTGCTGACTTCACACTTCTTGAGTAATCATCTGGCTTCTGGGGCAGAAATGGTCACCTCTTAACAGACCTTACCACCTCATCAGGCTGACACAATAGAGCCGCAAAGTATCGGGTTTACAATAGAGCCAGTGATCTCCCCTTTGAGGGTCATCTAAGGAATCTGTCAATACAACCACAAGGGAGTGGGGATGTGCATCTTTCGAAACACTCTGTGCTTCCTTAGGTGACATTCCTTAGAGCAATTACAAAGGCCACAGCTTGACCTTGAGGTTTTCTGGGTCAATGACTGTTTGAGGCATTACTTCCTTCAGTTTATTACGTCTGTCAAGCTAGCCATCCCTATTACTATTTTTATTATTATCATCATCATCATCAACACTACTACTAATACTATTATTACCGCTTTATTACATTGGCAAGAAAAAAAAATAGTAGTAAAAAAAAAATGAATGCTTCAGTTTTCGGAAGGACAAAACTGATAGTGGAGAGTGCTTTTGTTTTTCTGTGCCTTTACTGGACCAAGCTTTTCTCACTGTTTTCACTCTGGCTGTTGTGCAGGTGGTTGACCAGATTGACACACTGACATCCGACCTGCAGCTGGAGGATGAGATGACAGATAGTTCCAAAACAGACACACTCAACAGCAGCTCCAGCAGCACAACAGCTTCCAGTCTGGAGAAAGTCAAGGTGCGGGGCAGTGCACCACTCATCAAGCCACCCGCACACCCCTCTGCTATCCTCACCGTGCTGCGGAAGCCGAATCCGCCCCCACCTCCACCACGACTGACACCTGTCAAGTGCGATGAGCCTCCAAGGCTGACTCCTTCCACCAATCCTGTCAAGACTAATGGTACCCTGCTGCGAAATGGAGGCTTGCCAGTTGGGCCCAACCGCATCCCAAATGGAGATATATGCTGTATACCGAACAGTAATTTGGAGAAAGTTACAATGCAGCCTCTGACGCACAGACCTGAGAAAGAGCGGTGTCCTCAGCCGGGAGCGAGGGAACGGGTACGATTTAGTGAAAAAGTGCAGTACCATGGCTATTGCCCTGACTGTGATGTTCGGTATAACATTAAAAACAGGGAGGTGCACTTGCACAGTGAGCCTGCCCGTGTTGTGGGAAAGTTGCCACACCAGTGCCCTCCTCTCCCACCTCCACCACCTCCACTGCCTCCATTTCCTCTGGAAAATGGAGGGTTGGGGATAAGTCCCAGTAATAGCTTTCCTCCACTGAGACCTGCGACTGTGCCTCCACAAACTGCACCAAAACCCCAGAAGACCATCTTGAGGAAATCAACCACTACAACAGTGTGATGTATGCCACTTGAAACAACTCTTTCTTTTATCTTATATATAAACATAAATAGGTAATGAGCACTTTCTACTTGAGCAATAAAAAGCCCCAATGTATTACTCCCTGTGCCCAGTGAAGTGGCATAAAAATCACGTGGTAAGTACAAAGAAGAATGCTTGTTGATCTTACTTGTACTCACCAAAAAATGTCGTTATGGAAAAGAATGCTGAAAAAATGTTCATGCTTTAGCTCATAAGTTGTAAACATCTATTGCAGTTTCATATCTGTAGTGTAGTTTAAAAGACAGTAAAAAGAAGTTCAGTTTGAATTTACTGAGTGGTGATTCATGATGGATTTCAGTCTATCTGACATAAGGGAATAAACATTGCTCCTGGGTTTGGGGAAACTTCCTGTTTCTAGCAAGTACCTTTTAAAATGTCATTTGATGAAGCAAAGTGGAGTACCAGATAACTGCTTTTGACTGAATTCTAGCAAATTCATTTTTCTCTGCCTGACTGCTTGACTGAAGGCATTGTGTGTGGAGCGGTGCCATAGGAGGTAATCATTGGAATTTCAGGCAGCTTGATCTTTGGTGGAGAAGTAAAAAAGTAATTGAAAAGTATGTTGACATGGCTTTGGAAAATGTATTTCGCATTTTATTTCTCACTTGCTTCATGTGCCACAGCCAAGGTGAAGTACAGAGTTTTCAGATAAGCAAGGGTAGTCCCATTCAGTTCCCCTCTATTTCCACAGCTCCATCTGCAAAATGGTAGGAATATTTTATCTCACGTGGGATGGCAGTAGATTTAAACAACAAAGTGCAGTCCTGTATTTTTCACAAAGCTTTTGTCTGGTGCAAATCTCTTTTTGAAGGAAAAGAAAGTTTTGCCTAAGGCCTTCAGGGATATCCATTCAATTCATGTAAAGAGCTTTAAAGTTGAAAAGGTATTTTCACTGTAAAAAGATATTTTACATGTTACCACATTTTGATGGTGAACTCAATTAATATTCTTACTAGTTGAAAAAAAGTCCTTAGTGTTTTTAACTATTTTATGAAAGAACATTCTTTTATTCTCACCAAGAGAATTGTTGGGACCTAGAGTTAAAAATTCCAATCAGTGAAGAAAATCTGATAATAAATGTTATTTACAAGTTATGCCAAATTAATCTCAAATGGCCCAGCAGCAGATGCTGTATTAAAGCAGTGTTTTTTTTCAACTGAAATGTAAAACATACTCAATGACAAAACAATGAAATTAGACAAAACAGATTTTTAATTTACATTTCTGTTTACATGCAGTAATAGGTATTAAACTGAAAAGCAATATTCAGGCAGTTTCCCTGTATACACATTATAGTACATTTATAGTATTTAAACCAAATAATAATAATGACAAAAATTCTAACAGATAACTATGCTTTGAAAACCTTTGCAGTAAACAAAGATTGTATTTTGTGCAAATGCACTGGGTCTAAAGCTTCATGTGTATTCCTTACATAAAAGTGACAAAGCAAGGAAGTAATCTTAAATGCTTAATCATGCTTTTCCGATATGCTCCCCATGTTCTTTTCATGATGAACTTTACATTTTGTATTGTTTGGTTATACTTAATCTCATGAGAGCTGTAGCCAAGTCCTAGTGCTTGCAGCAGGAGGCAGTAACTCATTCTGCATGTGTGCAAGATCTTTGCTAGAAATTATCTTTCTGTCAGATGAATTCTGCTCATGCCCTGGGACTCCACAGCATCTCACTTGCTCACACATTGAAAATTACATTTAAAATCACTGCAACAATGTGTTGACATGTCCATATTGCATATCTACAGGTTTTTCTTTTAAAAAGAAAACTTCTGCTGTCTTTTTCACTACTGTGGAGATCATAGTTTAATTTTTTTTCCATCTTAAAAGAGCTACTGTGTACAAGAAATTACAGGGTAATGTAAATCAAACATTGCATAGTTTATATAAAATGCTTCATCTTAAATTAGAGAAAATAACACTGAATAATTTTAGGGGGGAGGTCTGCTGCACGTCTTACCTCACTTGCCTCAATTACTCCACTATAGTCTCCTCTCTGATAGCAGAGCACAGTATTTCTCCTCTGGATTCTGCCCCTGGGCTTGTCAGAGTCTCATGAACATTTTAGTACCTCCAAATTAGACGCTGTACTCTATGGATGTGCATTGATGTACATGTAAATTTCAGTTTTGTTGTAGTGCTAAATTTACAGTTCTCAGCTCTGGAAAGTTTAAGTGACATCTGACTTTCAGCATATCATGTCCAGTTTTGGTATCCAGTATCTCTTTCAGTTTCTCCTCTCTTTCAGAGGAGCTTCCTTGTCTCTTTCCTCATGCCTCCTGAGTACCCTTTGACAAACTACTGCCCTTCTTTGTGCATTTTCATGGGGGCAAAGCGTGCTGACTCTTGTGGTTTAACGTCAGCCAGCAGCCAAGCACTGGGCAGCCACTCCCCCACTCCTCCCCCATCCCCGGGGGATGGGGAGAAAATAGGACAAAATAAAATAAAACTCATGGGTAGAGGTAAGAACAGTTTAAAAAATAAAATAGTATAAAATAAAATAGTATAAAATAAAATAAAATAAAATAAAATAAAATAAAATAAAATAAAATAAAATAAAATAAAATAACCTATTCACAATGAAAAGGAATATAACAGAAAAAAGCGGGAAATAAAACCCAGGAAAAGGCAAGTGATGCACAGTGCAGTTGCTCACCATCCACTGACTGATGCCTGAACAGTGATCTGCACGCCCTGGCCAACTCCGCCCAGTTTATATCCTGGACATGACGTTCTATGATATGGAATATCCCTTGGAGTAGTTCAGGTCAGCTGTTCTGGCCATACTTCCTCCCAGCTTCTTGTGCACCAGCTCACTGGCAGAGCATGGGAAACTGAAAAATCCTTGATTCAGAAGTGCTGCTTAACAAGGACTAAAACATCGGTGTATCAACATTACTCTCACACTAAGTCCAAAACATAGCACTGTACCAGCTACTAGGAAGAAAATTAATTCTGTCCCAGACAAAACCAGAACACTAACTCAAGCTCTCTTTAAGGTACCAAAGTGTTCCAAGGTCTTTGTTAAATTGTGTTATGAATGTTGAATCAGTTCTATTTTAATTAGAATGTATCTTGTCAGTGTCCTATTGTAAGGACAGTATTTGTCAGTATAGCAATTTCACATTATTAACATGATAGAGTAAAATTCAGGTTAAAACAGGTAAACTTGCAAAGCATGGGAAATAATTAACTTCAAGCTTTGCAGCACTGTCTGGAAACTTCTAATAAAAATGATGTAAGAAAGAATGCAATACTATTTTCAGTGAGCAGTGTTTTTTAAATTTATATTAGGAATATAATCTCTGTGAAGCATTTTTAAATACCTGTAACACAGCATATTTCACACCTTATGAGGAAAATGCAATAAACTAGACAGGAATTATTTACCTTTGGAACATAAATGTAATAACTTTGAGGTTGTATTTAGTCTTTTGCAAAGATGTTAATACCTGAAAAACTGAAAGGCAAATAACAGTACTCAGAGTTTTAATTCAACATTTGCCATCACTTTAGACTTCTGCTCAGTTTGATTCCCCAAAGGTGTTTTAAAATCTGAATTGTCCAGAGCTAGATTTCTCAAATGCAAATAGAAGAACGTAGTTTCTATCAATTAATTTAATTAAGGAGATAAGCTTAGGAAAATGGAAATAAGCAATGAAAGTTGCTTAATTTATAATACTGGCATTGATTAATAAAACCTATCCTATGGATGCTCTGTAAGAATGGAACACTATGAGAGCAAAATCCTGTCTAAGCACACGAGGTAAGAATCTTCAAAAACGTCGTGGTTGTTTTTATCACCTAGTAAAAGTCACTTTTCTTCCTTCTCTCGTCTTCTGGAGTTGTTACACCTTTCATCACATTGTCCATTGTTCATAGAAACAAGAAAAGATTCCAAATCTTCATAATCCTTTTTTATTATTAAATCAGTATTTTATTTAAAATGTTATGTGAAATGAGTGGACTGCAGCTTTTGTTGACTTCCTTCAGATAACTTGAAGCAAACAAGAGTGCAGCATGAATTCTTTAATTACCAGAGGGAGTTATGTGTGCTCTGGACCTCCTCAGATCTCTTTGTTTCCATGTTCTAATTATGCCTTTCCTTTTAGTGATACCATGAACAGTAATTTTACTTATGGAGCTATAATCATGCTATGATTGCTACATTACTTCTCTGATTTACTCTTGAAGTAGGCATGGATATAGGGCACATATTTTTACATAGGCAGCATTTGTCATTCCCAGTTTGTATGTATGCTGTGATCTATGCTTTTTCAGAGAGGCTGATGTGTATGTAGAAGAAAAATACCTATCCGCTGTTCAAACGTCATAATAATGAAAGCATCAGGCTTAGAGCTGCAGTAAGCTCTTGTATGTGCAAAGGCATGTGACAGGAGAAATGTCTGTGGTAAACCATGGTATGTTTAGAAAACTTAATCTGAAAAATACTTGGCACCTATTGAATTTTATAGGGCAATATGTGTTATATAGCATGCAATAGTTACATGCTGCAGCCTAGCATTTCCGAACCTATTACCACAGACTGTGTGGATCATAACTGAAGCAGCAGCAGCAGCACTGGTGTTAATAGCTCAGCACACTGCAGGGCAGTGTGTACAAACTGCAGATCAGCCTCATCTTTGGTAGCAGTTACATGGTGATGGTTTTTAAATGGCAAAAACTAGTGGAGGTTTCATCTCACTGTCCATTTCGGTGGTGGAGAGCCCAGAGGAGCAAGTTTCTCCCTCAGTCATGATTTTGACAAGGTGTCTGTAATAGTTCACCTTCAGATAGCTCTGGGGAGCTTTAATTCTTTAATTCCTGATCTTAAATGTTTTGATGTATGACTACCTCATGTTGGTCAGGGAGCTCTCTTATTAGCTTAGACTGGAGCTGCTAGAATAAAGGGACTTGACTTGGTATCCTGCCACAGGAGAGTGGCCTATGCTCTTGTCAACCTGTGCAAGCTTGCTACTGATCACTGTTTTTTTCACATTTGTTCATGCATGGCAAAGTCCCCATGTTACTTATGTGTTTGGAAGTTTTTGTTAAGAAGTTGCACCATGCGCTGTATC